AACCGAACTATATTTGTTATTTTATAAGGCTTGCTGGTTGCATATGCTATCTTTCCTTTGGCTTGGATCTCCAATTACAGGCACATGCTCTTTTTATGCTTCTGTAATGTTAACAGAGGATGTATTGACGGAGGTTGAAATGGTTTTGAGCTTTGGAGTGAGGCTGCTGTGCTTATGAGTAGGGTGAGCTGCAGTGGAGGTTAATACATTGATGGGCAGGTATAAACAAGAAGGACAAGGTAATGGAGGAAGTTGTGACACAGGTGAGTTGAGTTGCTGTTGTATTTGAGGCTGCTATATTTGTAAGCATTGTTGTTGGTTTTGTTATCCTGTCTTCCTCATCTCTTCGTTTTGGTTGCTCTTCATTGGTTCCCATCGGAGAGGTGGAGGTTCAGTTGTTTCGCTTATTGGTTCCAGTGATGGTATTGAGATGCTGCTAATGCAAATATGCTGCTGAAACTATTGTATTGCTGTTGTTTTCTCCAGCATTGTTGCTGTATCATTGCACTGCTGATGGTGTGTTGTTTATTTGTCTAGTTTTGGTTGCTTTTGATTGGTTTCTCACCAATCTTGGATTGTGCTAGCAAATGATTGTGCTTCCTTTGCGGTGCCAATCTAGTTGGGATTGTTGAGGTTAGCTATGATGCTCTATGTATTTCCCCGCTTGGTTGATGTAAACTTTGCTTGTATATTGTTTTTCATCAATAAAGCTTTTTTGCTGATCAACAAAAAAAAAAATGTCATGTGACATCCGTTAACGGAAAAATTTAGGGATTAAATATGTTTAACTTATTTCACTAATTTTGAAGTATTATGTGACGTCATTATTCATCTTTCTAAACTATTTCAAAGATTTTGACTTGTCATGTGAGGAGGAAAAAAATTAATTGACAACCCCAAACATTCTTGCTAGCAAAAAAACAAAAAACAAAAAACAAAAAGTGCCCATTCCGGTTTTGATATATGAATTATTGAAGAGAGCTTTGACTTATTTCTATCAATATAACAATTCTTGATGCATTTGTGTTAGGGGCATTTGACAATAATGTAAATAAATAAATAAATTGCTTGGAGAGTGAATGAGTTTGACAGGCACGTCGTGGGGTGCAAGTCTTTTGGTGAGCAGGTAGAGGTCAACATCATTTTTAATATTATGTTATATGGTTCAGAATTTTTATAAATGATAGGTTTTTTCATCTCTGGGTCTCTTATCTTGCACAGCCAAGACGACTCTTTTTACTTCTTCCAATTCTAATTAAGTAACCATTGATTCATTCATTCTCTCTCTATATTAGTGGGATCATTAACTTTCTGTTTTTGGTTTTATTATTAGATTAGATATGGCAATGAGATACAAAATTATGTGTGATTTAGATTCATTTAAGATAGATTTTTTTTTAAAAAAAATAATTATTTCTTTTCAATTATTGGTGTTGCATTGTGTCATTTATTTTCTTATTATGGGCTATTTATTGTTGTAATTGTTAGACTTGAGTTTTTTCTTTCTACTTATTATTATTAGTTATTTCTTGTGTTAGTAGTTAGATCATTATACCATAATTATTCAGTTTGACATAATTTTTATTTTGCGTGGTTATCACTACACTTAAAATGAATTTAAATTATTTATTAAATTTTACGCCTATATTTTTGTAATTTTTGTGCATGTAGCTCATTAATGTTTATTGTATAATATCTTTCAATTTCATTGACCAATCTCAATAATCAAATATTGATTGAATATTTACAGTCAATACCCAAATATTGAACTTCTTATCCTTTTATCTTATGAAAAAGCTCAATGATGAAGAACAACAACAGAGTAGATCACACTTTTTCTCAACATTGGATGCAAATGAATATGGAGGTGTTGGAAGCTGATTTCATACCAATGGCATTGAATGAAGAAATTGAAGCCCAGAACAATTGTTTGGATGATGAGAAAGGATTTGGACCTATGTCAAGTTCAAGAGATGATCATCATTTAATACAAGTAAACTTCACAAAGGATATTCATGATACTAGAAGCTAATTCAGAAGAAAAATGAAGCTCGTTCTCAAATTGCTAAAAAATTACTAAAAAAGACGGTACGCCTACCTTGTATAGCTTTTATCATTTTTACTTTTATCTACAAGTTTAGAGACTGGGAGTTGGTCGTTGGATGAGACGCTTTATTATCGAGCAACCAGTGTGATGTTTGAATTTGAATCTCATTATTGCGCCATACAGTTTCTTCTTATCTTTTTTCACTACAAGAAAAGTTGGTTTAAAAGACGGAAGCATTTGTGACAGCACACTTGCCGTTGCGAAAAAGATGAGTTTTTGTGACGGCACTATTTACTGTCGCAGAAAAATAGAGTATTTGTGACGGTAGAAAATGCTGTCGCAAAAAAGGAGAGTATTTGCGACGGCAGAAATTACTGTTGCAAAAAAGAAGAGTATCCAGTGTGATGTTTGAATTTGAATCTCATTATTGCGCCATACAGTTTCTTCTTATCTTTTTTCACTACAAGAAAAGTTGGTTTAAAAGACGGAAGCATTTGTGACAGCACACTTGCCGTTGCGAAAAAGATGAGTTTTTGTGACGGCACTATTTACTGTCGTAGAAAAATAGAGTATTTGTGACGGTAGAAAATGTTGTCGCAAAAAAGGAGAGTATTTGCGACGGCAGAAATTACTGTTGCAAAAAAGAAGAGTATTTGCGACGGTAGAGATTGTTGTCGCGAAAAAATAGAATTTTTGTGACGGCATCAACTGCCGTCGAAAAAAAAAAAAAGTGAGTTTTTTGCGACTGTAATAGGTACCATTGCAAAAAAAAAAAAAAAAAAAAAAAAAGTAAAAAAATAATAATAATATTGTGCCTTTGAGACAACTTCATAAATATACAGTCACAAAATAGTTTGAATAAATGCAACAGTATTTTTCTGTCGCAAAAAAATTAAAAAAAACGACGTTGTCTTACTCTTTTGATATAGCATTTCTCTCTTCACCCATTTTTTCATCTTCCTGTCTCTTTGTCTCTGTCTCTTCTCTTTCTCACATTCACTCATCACTCTTCTTTTTCTGTCTATCTATCTGTCTATTTCTCTCTCTGTCTTTTGCTCATCTCTTTTCTTTCTATCTCTCATTTGTCTTCTCTCTCTGTCTCTCTCACTCATCTCTCTTCTCTCTATCTCTCTCTCGCTCATATCTCTTCTCTCTATCTCTCTCATCTCTTTTCTCTCTATGTCTTTCTCGCTCATCTCTCTATCTCTTTCTCTCTCGCTCATCTTTATTCTCTCTCTATTTCACTCTTTTTCTATGTCTTTCTCTCGTTCATCTCTTTTCGCTCTCTTTCTCTCTCTTTTTGTCTATGTCTCGCTCATCTCTTTTTTCTGTCTCTGTCTCTTTCTCTTTCTCTCTCTGTCTCTCACTCTCTTTCACTCATCACTCTTCTCTCTCTCTTTTTCTCTCTATATGCCTGTCTATTTGTCTGTCTATCTGTCTCTCCCTCGTTGTGTTTGCCTTACTCACTCCCCCCTTACTTCTTCTCTATTTACTGAGCTCTCTTTCGATTTATCGAGACACTACAAGAAAATGCACTTTTAGTGACCACTTTGTCTCTCTCTCTCCCTCTCTCTCTCACTCATCACTCTGTTTATGTCTCTATCTTCCTTCTCTATCTGTCTCTTAATCATCTCTCTCTCACCACCCATCTCCTACAAATGCCATTCCACTACTACAACTACTACCACTGTTGCCACTCCGTCTCTATGACTATCATTATTACCACCATCACCACCACTCCATTACCACTACTAATACTACCATTACCTCTCCTCCACCACCGCCACTCTATCTCTTCTACCATTACCACAACTTCACCACTAATCTCATTTGCCATCACTACCACCACCACTATCACCTCTTATCTACCACCTTCACCACTACTGCTGCTCCCTATCCTCTACTACAAAAAATTAGTTCTCGATTTTTAGTAACAAAAAAAAAATGGATTGCAGAAAAATATTTTTCATTAACCACAAAAAATTAATTTTATTTTAATGGAAAGTATTTTTCATTAAAATATTACTCCTATTTCTACCAATTAAAAAATAATAATAATAAATTTTTATTCATTAAAATAAAAATAAAATAAAATAAATTTTTAACCTTAATAACTAAAAGAAAATGAAAAATCAAAAAACAAAAATTTCATTAACTATAAAAAAAAATTATTTTAACAAAAAATAAAATTTTTAAATATTCATTTGTGATGAAAACTAAAAATAAAAAAAAAAATTCCATTCCCGCCCCCCCCTTTTTTTCCCATATCCTTTTATCTTATGAAAAAGCTCAATGATGAAGAACAACAACAGAGTAGATCACACTTTTTCTCAACATTGGATGCACCCACTCTGTTTCCCCCTCATTTTTTTTCCATTCCCGCTCTGTTTCCCTCCCTTTTTTTTCCAATTCCCTCTCTCTTTGCCCCCTCCCCAACCCTAAACAAAAAATCCCCAATCTCAAACCTCCCACCGGCCAAAACCAAAAATCCGTAATCTCTTCTTACCCCCTCTCTCTCTCTCTCTCGATCGACGGCGAGTGGCGGCGGACGACGGTGAGCGGCAGACGACGGCGAGCAGCAAACGACGGCATCGAGCAGCGTGCGACGAATACGAAGTTCCTCATTTCTTCTCTCTCCTTCTAGACCCTTCGAAGCCTCCTCGCCTTCCAAGTTTGTACAAAACGCCGCGGTTTCATCCGAGTACGAGCAAGAAGAGGACCTATTGAGCGATGCAGAGGAACCCAGTTATGTTTGATAATGTTTAGCTTATTGTTTGATAATGTTTGCTAATTTTTCACCTCTAAGGAGGGTTCTAGGGCTTAGTCCCTATTTGTCTCTTTTTCTTTCCGATGTACCCCCCCCCAAAAAAAAGTAAATTTATATTTAAAATTTCAAACTACTATGTATTATAATTTTAAAATTTTGATATTGGTATTCATTTGTAAATGACTGGTGTTTGGAGGAAGGGGCAGAGGATTTTATAGTGAAACCTGTTAAATGATCGGACGTGAAACGTTTGAAAGATAAGTCTTCGATGATGATGATGTTCATGTTCTTGTAAAGGTAATAAGCAAATTCGTATTTTTTTGGCTTCCATTTTCATGCACATCAAGTGTTTGACTAAATGTGTCAATGGGTTTGTTTTGTTTGTGTTGATAGTCACTGCAGTGGATGGTGGAAGGAGAGCTCTGCAATTTCTAGTTTTGGATGATGAGGAAAAGAGCTATGTTGGGTTTGATGTAAGTGAGATTAATTTATTGTTATACAAGTTAAATTTAAGTTGATTGATTTATGATAAATTGATCTTTAAGTTTTGTTGGGTTGGTTTTTTTCTCTTTTTTTTTTTTGTAGAAAAAAAAGCTTTGCTTATTTTTCCTCTCTATTTTGTGTGTTGATCAAATGATTCATAATAATTCTAGAACATCAGGTGAAGATGATCTCACTTTGGGGACCTAACTGTGGCACCCACTAAAACACCAAACAAATGTTATGAACCAAAAAAAAAAAAAAGTATCTGAAAAAAAAAAAAGCAGCATGTTATATATGTGTTTTAAGACCCACCTCCAACAATGAAACCAACCTTCAAAAAAAAAGTGCCATCCTTGCTGGGGTTTGTTGAATTTGATTAACTGTGTTTACCTGCTGTGTTTATCAAATTTTGAGGTTTATGATAATGGGTCGATGGTAGAGCAAAAGAAAATTAAATTCCTTGTTTTTGGGTTTGGAATTTTATGTGTTGTTTATTCCTGATGTCAGGATTTGGGGATGACAGTTACAACTTTCAAATGGTATTTGTAATATGAAAATTTTAGTGTCTCCCCTGATGGAAGCAAAGTAGGAGAATACATCGACTAACTTGAGATTTTCATGCCAATAATCAGTTGGAGTTTAGAATTTGTGATCCAATTTTATATTTTATCATACCAATTAGATTTCAGATTATTTTGTTTAACGCCACTAAATCTTTTAGTGGCCCAACTTCTTTCTGATTCATTATTTTGGTCACTTGTTATTGAACTTCTTTAATTTCATCAATTTTTAAGGTGTTGAAGAATGTGGAATGGCCAGAACAATTTCCATTCAAGGAAGTGGATTTTCAACGCGCTGATGAGTACAAGCACTGAACTAATTTCTTTCTAGCATTTGTATTCCTTGTTAACTTTTTCCCTCTCCTGAAAAGGTTTTCAATGACACTATTGCATAACTAACACCATCACTTCACTAAATTTTTTGAACAAGTTTCACTACAAGAATTTCAATTCCTGATCTTGACGAATTAGAGACTGCATCATGATCATGTTCCAGATCCACAGATAACAAGTTCTAATGGTATTTCCATTAACAAGCACTGGATTGTTAAAACAATTGAAATGTTTTATTTATGGTATCTTATAAATTATAAGTATGTCCCTTTTGTATGTTGTATTCTTCCACTTTTATTTCTCATGGTAAATCTCACCTAATACAATTTCATGCCATGTATGCTAGAATTTCAGTTTGAGTAGTGATATTTCATTAGAAAACTATCACAATGGTTTAAATTTAAAATAATTCTTGTCAATATAAGTTGTTTTATTCAAGCTGTTCGCTTTAAATTGAATCTGCATGCTGTTTTTCAGCTAAATGATTTGAGTTAGTTTTTCATTCTACAAGGCTACAACGTTATATATGATTTTTCCAGGTCACTAGATAAATCATTCTATGAATCTCCACGCTTTGTGACACATATTGATGATCCAGCCATTGTTGCTCTTACTAAGTGCTGGAAATTTGTGTTAATGTATATAATAAGATAGTGGCATGTATATAATATGATAGTGGTGTTGGTGGCAGATAGTGGCATGTATAGAATATGATAGTGGTGTTTGTGGCAGATAGTGGCATGTATATAATATGATAGTGGTAGATAGTGGCAATATATAATATGTAAGTGGCATATAATGGGTTATAATGATGTTTGTAATATCTCCTATATAAGGAGTGTCATTTGGTCTTGTAAGATAAGAAGTTTTGAATATAACAGAAATATATTCCTTCTTCCTCATATTTTCGGAGTCCTTCTTCCTCATATTTTCTAAGTCTAAGTATTATTCAGAAGGTTGATTTATCATAGTTGCAACCATCGCATTGTCCTTGCCTATTGCTCCTCTTTTATGATTGTTCTTACTTATGAAAAGTTCACTAATAAAATGTGTAGATACATGGACCCACCCAATCACAGTTGTCTCCACGACATCTTCACATCACCCTCATGAGGTCACGTGGACCACTCACACCACATGGTAAGAAGAGAAACCAAGCCCTAACTGGGAGGTCAGGGGGTCAATCCTTGCCAAGGCAAAGATTGATTATTTCTTCCCTCACTCATTATGGGGGCTTTGTTTTATTTGGTTTATTTCCTCCCATTATTGGCTCTTTCTTATGTCGGTGTATTAGTTGTTGGACTATCACTGTCCGTTTTATGTAATTCTCTTCTCATATTTTTATATATCCTATTGATTGACAACAACAACAACAACAACAACAACAATAACAACAACAAAAAAAGGAAAAAAAAAGAGGGGTCATGTGGACCACTCACACTCCACATGGTAAGAAGAGAAACCAAGCCCCTCAAAAGTACAAATCTTGCTTCTTATACCTGGAAAGAAGTTTATCAGTATGAATTGAAAGGCGATGCTTCATTTGTAACAAGAAACAATTATGATATGGAAATGTAGGTGTTAACAGACATACGTATTCTTAAATTATAAATGCTATAAATAATGGTATAAATGCTATAAATTATAAGTGGTCATTGTCAAGACTCTCCTCTATCAGCTTATTTAGAAATCCTGATTCTTTAGAAGGTGGGTTTTTGCGCATCTGTTGGCAAGTGCTTGGAAAATGCTATTGAATATTGAATCATTGATAACTCATTGCTGGAAATGGACAGACAAGCTGATGCTTGCTCACTTTGAAAATGTGCACAGCGTTATAAATCTTATTTGTTGCTACTGTTGTCTAAATTGTGCAGTACTTTTTTTAGCTGGTATTTGGTCACTTTGAAAAGATTAGAATAAGATGAGTTCTCTGGCATAGAATTAGAGATTTATTATGTGGATTTTTATGGATTCTTGACCACAGTTGATAGACATTGGCCTAAATGTCAATTGGACACTGTGTACACATTTTACAACTTTTGCATGCATGCTTCTAGTTTTAACATGAACTTATGTCCAAAGGAAAAATTGATAAAATGTGGTAGAAAAGATTACTAGATGATCAAAATGTTTATTGTTTTTGTCTAACATATGGGTGGAAGCAATTATACGAAGATAGTGTAATGTTTAGCACTATATTTATCCCTGTGAATATGTTAAATTGTGGTGTATGCATAGGCTGCATAGTTATTATTTTATTGGTTATAAGGTAGTGTTTCTTCATTTTATTAATGGTATTTCTTCACATATCATCTGACAGTTCTTTACCCTTTTATTTAGAGAACTGCATCTTCAGGCAACTTTGGATCATTTGACAGCAATTCCATGTCTCTCAAGTTAGTTAATTCAGTTAGTTTAGTGGATATGGCCTCAGAATCTGAGCAATCTGGGACCAACCAAGATAAACAGTATGCAGTTTTATCTCTTCTTATTTCTGTTTTACATCTATGCAAAATTAAAATTGTTTTGAGCATTGAAGAGTAGGTAACTCACTTTCCTAACTTTGTTTATGCAATATTTGAGAATAAACGGCAATACCTCATCAGTGGTAGGTCCGGGAGAGCAGTGGATTTGTAGTTTGCTTTCCAGAAACACAGGCATTAGTTTACTTCTTGTAGCTCATGCATGCGCAAAGCCTACTCTGCATAGTATAGAGTTTGTATATTACCAATTCAGTCCAAGTTTTCTGTTTGGTAAGGTGACATTTATTTGAGATGTTGAGAGCATTTGGTTTTTTGTTTGTTTCATTGGTGGCAACTCATTTTCTCTTGACTTATTGTGAATGTTTTCTTCTTCATTTTTCGCCTATTTTGTTGACTTACTTTAGTAATTAGTATTTTATCATATAACAATACATAGATTAGGACTTCTTTTTCTACTTGATGTAACTAAATTTGCTAGAGCCGGATTTCACTCTTAAGAAACATAGAATTCGAGGTGTTAACGTCCCAAAATCACCAAACGGTGTCGGAGTAGCACGAAACTTGGCACGCACGACCGCCTAGGCATGAGAGACTTATGGGAAAAGACGAGACTCGAATCGGATTCCCGGTTTAGGAGTTAGAGCCGGATTTTACTCTAAGCAAACTAGTTTTGTAAGAAACTTAGAATTCGGGGTGTTAATGCCCCAAAATCACCAAACAGCGTCAGAGTAGCACGAAACTTGCCACACACGACTGCCTAGGCACGAGAGACTTGTGGGAGAAGACATTACTCGAATCGGATTCCTGATTTGGGAGTTACAGCTGGATTTCACTCTAGGTAAATTAGTTTTTTAAGAAACTCAGAATTTGCGGTGTTAATGCCCCAAAATCACGAAACGGCGTCGGAATAGCACGAAACTTGCCACACACGATCGCCTACGTACGAGAGACTTTTGGGAGAAGACGGGACTCGAATCAGATTCTCGGTTTGGGAGTTAGAGCTGAATTTCACTCTAGGCAAACTAGTTTCATAAGAAACTTAGAATTCGAGGTGTTAATGCCCCAAAATCACCGAATGGCGTCGGATTAGCACGAAACTTGGCACACACAACCACCTAGGCACAAGAGACTTGTGGGAGAAGACGGGACTCGAAACGGGTTCCCAGTTTGGGAAGTAGAGCTGAATTTCACTCTAGACAAACTAGTTTCTTAAGAAACTTAGAACTCGAGGTATTAAACGCCCCAAAATTACCAAACGGCGTTGGATTAGCATGAAACTTGGCACACATGACCGCCTTGGAACAAGAGACTTGTGGGAGAAGACAGGACTTGAATCGGGTTCCCGGTTTAGGAGTTAGAGTCGGATTTCACTTCACTCTAGGTAAACTAGTTCTTTAAAAAACTTAGAATTTGAGGTGTTGACACCCCAAAATCACCAAATGACGTCGGATTAGCACAAAACTTGGCACACACGACCGCCTTGGCACGTGAGACTTGTGGGAGAAGACGGGACTCGAATCGGGTTCTTGGTTTGGGAGTTGGAGTCAGATTTCACTTTAGGTAAACTAGTTCTTTAAAAAACTTAGAATACGAGGTGTTAACGTCCCAAAATCACCAAACGACATCAGATTAGCATGAAACTTGGCACACACGACCGCCTTGGCACGAGAGACTTGTGAGAGAAGACGAGACTCGAATTGGGTTCCCGGTTTGGGAGTTAGAGTCGGATTTCGGTCTTGGCACAATTATTTACTTAATTATCTTTGTAATTGTATAATAGTTAAATTTTTATGTTTTTTTTTTGTAATTAACATATTAGCACATAATTATATTGTCATTAATTATTTTTATTTTTTTTTTCCAGATATTTCCGGAGTAGGAGTTTGCTTCTTGTGGATTTTATGCCTGTGAAGAATACCACTAATTTTTGTTTTTGTACTACGGAGAATGATGAGGAAAAATTTAATTTTGGTTTATGTTATTTTGAATTATGAATTATATTATGTATTTAAACATTATATATGTATTATGGAACATTATATACTAGGGTAATTTTGTTGATGTATAGTTATGAATGCAAGAATATGTTTATTATGGAGCAATTGATATTTTTATATAGGAATTTTTATATTATTATGTAATTATTGGTTTCTTCTTAAATTGTTTTTTATTGAATACATGTAATTTTAATATTTTTAATTAATTTACAGCAGGGCTTTTTTTTTTTTTTTTTGACGGCACCGAACTGTCGCAAAAACAGGTATTTTTTTATTTTTAATAATTATTGCATTTTTTGCGACGGCACCACATTGTTGCAAAAAATCAGAACCCTTTTTTGGCAAAATATTCAATGTCGTCGCAAAAATAAAATATGCATTGCAAAAAAAAAAAAAAAACAATTTGCGACGGCAATTTTTGCAGTCTCAAATAAAATTTTTGGCGACGGTAAAACAGAGCCGTCACAAAAGGTCTCTATTTTTACACATTATTAGCGACAGTAAAATGCCGTCGTAAATAGTAGCATATGCCGTCGCAAAAAGGTTTTTGCAACGCCTTCTATTGGACCTTCCGTTAGCTGTTGCTAAAAGTTTTTTGAGACGGCACGATGAGTATTTGCGACGGCATTTTGCCGTCGCAAAAAATCAAAATTTTTGTAGTGTTTCTCTCCAATTGATCATATAATTTCTCATTTCATACTAGTCCATATATGATGAAATTATGCAATTATGATTATGGAATCAATGGCTTCGTTTGGGAAGTTGCTATTTTAGTAGGCTATTTTAGTTTTTGGCTATTTTAGTAGGCTAAAATTTTTGTGTTTAGGAAGATTATTGGATTTTTTTGTGGTTGGATGTGATGTTTGTGAGAGAAAAAATGAAATGATTATGGGTTTGATGTGATATTTTGTCTTATTAGCTATTTTAGCCTATTTTGTCTTTTTGTGAATTTTAGCCTAAACTAGGCTATTTTTTTTCTTGCCAAACACCCCCAATATGTTGTGGGATAGTATGAATTTGATCATCCTAAGTGGACAACCACTTTTGAAAACTCATTCTAGGCTTTACAAATAATCTTTATCATTATCTTTCATCCATATCTTATTTGAGAATGAGATTTTCCAAGCTGTATGTAGGTGTGATGGACGTAAGGCTCCTAGCTCATATGGTTTTAACTTCAAATTTATCAAAAGAAATTGGAATTTGATTAAAGATGATGACCTAAAACATAATTAATTAGTTGTCAAAATGATTTTCTAAACTATCTTTTTTGAATTACCAAACAGGTGGATCGGATTCCTGTAAATTCAGAATTATGGCATCTATCATTATATAGGGACTATTTATTATGGAGGAGGACTGAAATGAAGCCTTTGCAGCTATGTTTGAAGGAATTTCGGCCTTCAAAGAACCCTAACCCTAGCCGAGAGAGAGACTCTCGGAAAGTTATAATTGGTAAAAGCTCCCCAGTAGGATACCATGTTATTTCAAGGTTCAAACACCTAGCACTACCATATTCAAATAGTTTTTGGACATGGAAAAACGAATTCAAGAATTTGCAAGAATGTCTGGAAGAGCTTCATCACTCGAAGAACCCCATCCGAGTAGGGAGAGCTATTGGAACATACTCTCAGGAGGAACAACTCAATTGCTTTGTAAGTTATTTAAGGCTAAGTATTCTATTATTTTGAAAAAGGATAAATTATAAATACACCATTAAAGTTTGCTTAAAATATAAATTAGCTCCTTATAATTCTACAAATTACATTCCATCTTTTCAAGTTTCTAATCACATAATAAATGACCTCTTTTATTAATAAATTATGAAGTCAATTAAAAATAAATGACATCTTTTTTTAATGATATTAAAAATATATTTGACTTAATAATTCAGGTAATATTATTGTTGTGTAGAGGAATAGTTAAAAATTTTATTTTTCTATTAATTTTATTAAATAATTTTTTTTAATAAGGATGTATTTATAATTTCTAAAATTATAGGAGCCAATCCGTATTTTAAACAAATTTGAGGAGATATCTTTGTAATCCTTCTAAAAATGTTGAGTTGAGGGGTTTTTTTTTTACTATATATAATTATGTTAAAGTAGTTAAGCTAAAGTTGTTAAGCCATTAATAGAGGTGGAGTTTCTTTGTAATTGAGCTAATTTTAATGTTTAAACTAATACATCATTTTTCAAATGTAAAATAACAAGTGGACAGGGGCCCGATAACTAGCTAAGCCCACTCAAGCTTGCTCATAATTTATAGCGTTTGGGATTGGGGGAGTTACGGGCCGGTCTTTTGGACTAGACTTAATTCCCCAAAAGTCCTGACCCAAAATAATTTAGTGCATCTTTCATTTTTACCCTTACATTCAGTTGAGTCATCCCTATCTCTATTTCTCTCTCTTCTCTCTCTCACTCTCATATTTCTCATTGGCACACCATCATCTCTATTTCTCTCTCTTCTCTTTCTCTCACTTTCATATTTCTCACTGGAACACCATCTCCTCCTTCTCCTCTATCACCATATATGTCACTCAGCTCAACCACACTCGCCTTAACCACCACCATCCTTCTCCCTCGTTGCCATCACCGCTGCTCCTTCACCGTCATTCATTTGATAGCTTCAACACCGCAATCCTCCATCATCGATCTACCATCTTCAATATCGTCGTTGCCATCATCTTCCTCCATCACCAATATACCATCTTCGACATCATCATTACCACCATCTTCCTTAATCACCGGTTTAGAAGTCTCCAATCAGTGTATTAAAAGGTGTTGTTGATCTTCTACAGACGTGTAACTGATTTGATAAATTTGTTACTTAATTCAGTGATAAATTTGTTACTTACTTTATGAATGATAAATTTGTTACCTAATTCAGTAATAAATTTGTTGTGATGCCCCTCTCTCCGTCAAATCAAGTCTGCTATTTGTCAATTTTTAACAAATTCAACACTGATAAATTTATCACTGTAACTCTGGCTGAGATTTGTTGCATGATAAATTTATCACTGAATTAGACTTTTAATTCTTTGGCTTGATTTGTGATAGCGTAAAATGATGAGAATTATTCTCTGGCAATGGCTTCTCATCTCTCTCCTTCATTATCTTAATTTTTTTTCTCTTTTTCTCTCATTATTGCCGGATCTGAGGGGGGTGGTTGTGGTGGTGATGTGTTGAAGATGAAAAATGGCTAAAAAAAATATTGTCAGAGGTTTGCAATTTGAAATTCAAAAATAAAACAGGAAACTAGGAGAGAAAAAAAACCAAATGAGCGAAAGTATAACAAGGGCAAAGTTGGGATAAAAAAAATATAACAAGACTTGTTGGTTCATGAGATAGAAACTAGGACCTAATGTGTAATAGATTTCATTATTGGGACTGATTGGTAAAAAATCCTTTAGGATTATGGTTTAGGCGCCTAAGGTTGGGTTGGACATTTTTTTAGGCTCAATTATAAGATGGACTGGACTTGAGAAAAGTGTTTCAAACATAGCAAATCTCACAGATAATCTATATTATCCAATATATTTTTATAAATATGTATATTTATATGTATGTTCTATATTGTTTAATTTTAGTTTTTAGAACAATAAATTACGTATTACTAGTTAGGTAAAGAATTAATTATAAAATTTGAACTATTAGGTTGGAACAACTTAAACGGCTGGCTTTTAGCCTAATTACCAAAATAACGACACTTGGATGATTAAATTAATTATAATTTTATTTTAAAATATGAAAATAATATTTATATTAAATAATGTCTGGGTCATGTAGGGTAGTGTTAACTTGGAAAGCTGTAAGCCCGTAGGGCATTTTGTTATGAGGTTAACATGTAATACTTATGTAACGAAACTCAATGAAATAAAGGAATGTGGTTAGTTTATATGTAAATGCTTGTCTTATCTGATGGGTTTAATGATATTATTTTGAGGGCGTTACAGTCTGGGTCATGTAGGGTCGAGCCAAATTTAAGAAATGATTTCAAGTATTATTATGTAATACGGGCTTGGCCCAAACCCACCCAAGTTGAAACTCAACCCATGTCCACCTCTAGTAAAACCTAGTTTGTTATATATGTAATTGAGCTAATTATAGCATATAAACTAAGAAATTATATTTCAAACCGCAGTAATAAAAAAGATTAAGAAAATCATTGGTAATTTTAAGTAAATTTGTTTTGAATTTAAAAAGGAATAATTACTAAGACAACAAATAATGTGGAATTATGAATTGCAGATAAAGAGTTTGAACTATCGGATGCAACACGGCAGTAACAGTCTTGCAGAGGAGAAGAAGCTTCTTTTTTTATTAGCAAAAAAAGTCTTATTGATGAAAAAATAACCAACTTGCAAAGATACATCAACAAAATGGGAAAGTGCACTAAGCATCATAGCTAAGCTCCACAATTCCAACTAGGTTGGCATTGTAAAGGCAACATAATCATTTGCTAGCACTTGACCCAAGATTGGTGAGAAATCAAGAGCATCCAAAAGAAAAAGAAAAATAAACAACAATACTGCAAAAACAAAACAACAACAGAACTCAACAGCAAAGCTCAGGGGCAATCCTCATAGTATCTGCACACACCAAAAACTCTCCAGTAAATAGATTTGCACCAACCGACAGCAAACAGATTTGTAACCTCGGAACAAATTTGCAACCTTCCCCTACACCAACCAGTAGCAAACAGATTTGCAAACTCAAAACAACAGCATTTTCAGCGGCAGACAGATTTGCAACCTCAGAAACAACATCATACAGCAGCAGACCTCTAGCTGAGATAGATAGGTAATCATTCATCTCTGTTCCCCACAAGACTGCAGGTCTCACTTACAGCTGAGATAGATAGGTAATCATTTCCTATGTCTACCATTCCCCTTTCCTTGCAGGCTAATTCCTTATCACTGTGTAAAGCACCATCATGGCATGCCAGATCACCCTCTGCACCTACCACATCATCTTCTTCTTCCTTCCTACCTCTGTAATTCTTGGAGCTTCGATCTTCATTAATAATGCCCTTACCTGATTCAGTGGTTCTTTGGATGCTTAGACTACATCCTTGATCGTTGTGATTGAGCTTAGCATCTTCGCACACCCAAACTGGATATAGGCAACCTTGATAGTCCAAATGAATAAGATTATTAATAGGCTCCACCTGTGAAGTAAGGATTTTCATCTTACCACATTCTAGAGAAGCCAAATCAAATAAATTCTTATCTAATTCCACCACTACTCCCCAAATCTAACCAATTTTTAGAAAATTGGGAGTGTTCCAAAGATTAGAAGGGACTCCAGAACAAGATATCCAAACATATCTTTCAAACTCAATCTTCATTCCCTTTTTCCAGTCCATCACTGATTCGCACCATTCATGAAACCACCCATGTATAACCTTTATGCTACTCATCCTTTCTTCTAATGAGGGGAATGATAGGTACACTATTCTTCCACCACCATCCTTCACCTATACGTCCTTTACACCTCTGATTAGCAGCTCCTCCTTGAGTTTAGCACTGCAGTATTTTGGCCATAGTTTTGCCACCACACTAGTGTACATCCATTCATTTCCATACTCCTCTGCTTTCAAACCTACTGCCTTTTCTTTTGAATCATTTCCACCTTGAAGTGCTTTAGCATATGACACTCTCCTTATAGTGCTTGCACCAGTTGTCATCCTTACCCCTACTACTCTCAGTGGTACTAGAAGATGAGTGTCAATTTTATCTTTGTTTTTAGCCTGCTCCTTACCAAACTCAGCTTTCTTTACTTGTAACACTTTGTCATCGCACCAAGTTCTGTTGGCTTTTTGGATAGCCATCTCAGTTGCTACTGGGCAATCATATTCACGAAACCAAATCTGGACCCTGATGTTTTCCTCCTTTTGCTTGGAATAAAGACATCTTTAATTATTCCAAAGTTTGTGAATAGGTGGAAAAGTTGTTTTGGAGACATAGAATCTGGGATGTTGTCTACAAACACAGTATGCATACCCCTATTGTTCTCAAGCCACTGGTTCCATGTCTTCTCCTGAACACAGGTTGCCATCCTCCTTGCTCCATTTAAATAGGTTAGTTTTAGAACTTCACTATTTTGAGGAGAAGAAGCTTCTTAGAGAGATAAAGCAAAATGAAGCAAAAATGGATAATATTAAACTCAATAATAATAATAAGAATATTGTCAATCATGCTTCGCAAGCTCCACAGATTTGATACTATTTGGACACTAGAAAAGATATTCAGGATCATATTCAAGTTAAGATATTTTTGTGATGGGATGTTTTATTCATAAAAAAAAAAATTAGGTCGTTTTGTGAAATTGTGTTTTTCAAAACATGGTTTGAAATCATATTTTTTAAAAGGCTTTACAAAATAACTTAAGATCATAACATAAGTTCGAAACTATTTGAATACGGAAATTTTATTTTAAAATGGCATGAGTTTTATGAAAAGAGAAAGTCTAAAACCACACTTGTCCATCCAGAACTTTTTTGGTGAGTGATCGTGTGGTGAAGTTTAATTTGTGTGGTGTAAAATTCATGTAGGGTCCATGTGAAGTGTGGTGAAGATTAATTTTTGAGTTGGTAATGGTGAATTTATAGTATTACTCTTGTGAAAAACTCCTTATATGTACTTTCCCCCCCTCCCCCCTCTCTTATTCTAGCTTATACACAATGAATTGAAAATACTATGGAAGGAAGATTAGAAACATACCACAAACATTCCACATCATAAGCAAGTATTAAAGGTTATTGAAAGTGATATAAGTTTTCTGGAGAAGAAAC